TCCGTAAAACCAAATGTTAGATTATTTTCAACACAAAACAAATGTGTTTATCAAATCAAATACCGTAATGAATATATTGAGTAGATTTTCCAGTGGCGATCGGGTCTACCGTCGATGTGGATATCGGGTGAAGAGGTATGTATGGACTTTACGGAGACTTATTGTATATATATATATAGCACTATCGGGTGAGTGCACGGCTTGTCGGGGAGGAAGGGTAAAGTAAAAAGTAAGAGACCTCGGGTCGCAATGCTTATCAAAAGCCGGACTCACTCGGGTAGAAGAGAATATGGAAAGTAGTGAATGACAGACCGTATGTTTTCAAAACTAAAACTAAAACTAAACTGTTTTTATTGAACTTTTCAAACGTTAGGTTAAATACAAAGTTATTGTGAGTATACAGTTAATACGTGCGTAAAAGTATGTTTTCGTAAAGTTATACAATTGTTAAGTATATATGTTTTATATCAATAAAAAGGTAATGTTATTTTTAATAATAATGTGTATGAAATTGTAATTGTAATTAAATGTAATTGTGATTAAAATACGAAAAACATAGTTGAATTAAATGTTGCAAATAGTGGTTAAATATGGTTTGCAGATGTGTTGAGAATATGGTCTTAATTAGCACTTAGGCGTAAGAAAGGGTTAGAAATGAAAGTTTAAGCTATACATGAAATTCTTAGAAAAACAATGAATTGAAATAATGGTAAAAATAAGATAATTATTCTTCGATGTCTTATAGCTGATCTAATACATGCAAATCCTCACAATATTATTTAAATTGATTATATTATAAATGATATGAAAAACGGAAACAATATTGAATTTAATCTATGAATGAATTAATTTATGAGAAGAATAATCATTGTTCGCGAGGAATAGCACTTTCGCCGCGTATACGACGGGCCAATTGCATGTCTTTGGGCATAATAGTGACTCTCTTGGCGTGAATGGCGCACAGATTGGTGTCCTCGAAGAGATTGACGAGATAGGCTTCGGACGCCTCTTGCAGTGCCATCAATGCACTCGTCTGAAAGCGGAGGCCTTCCGAAGTGATGCTTTGGTGACTCGCGATCTCTCGCACCAATCGCTGGAACGGAACTTTTTTGATCAACAAATCCGTATTCATCTGGTATTTGCGAATGTCTCGAAGAGCCTTCTGTCCGGGTCTATAGCGGTGTCTCTTCGGAGCACCCGTTTCGAGCTTTCTCTTGGGAACAGATTTGGTCGACAGTTGTTGTCGTGGTTTGGTTTTGGTCGCGAATTGGTGTCCACCTCCAGTCGATTTGCGCGCCATTTGTTTCCTTTCGAAAGTACTTCCACTCTTTGGCTGACATTCAGTGAAATTAAGTTTAAATAACGTTTAAATCAATATTTATTACAAACCGATTGTTTCTTTGGCGTAAAATTCTTTCGACGAGAACTTCCAATCATTCCTCCCATTGGGTCCAACTTTATTATTAGCGGTGGAACTGTTCTGGTCTCTGGTCCGGGAGTGACCGCCAATGGGTCACCGCCTGATTGACCGGTCGTGTCATTGATTGGCACCTTTTCAATAGTTGTAGTCGAAGTAGTGGCGGAACCGATACCACTCTCGCCTTGTCCTGAAGATTGTCTTCCCTTTGGCTGTCCTGTCGTCGATCTCTGAGTCGAAGCCTTGATTGAACGCTGAGAACAAGCGTTTTGAGTGAATTCCATTTCTTCGGCCAATTCATTGTCACTCAACACCACTTCTTCCGCTCCCGAAGACCTCTGATTGTTGTCCTGCGACTCGACCTCAATGTCCACAATCACGACTTGACTCAACAGCCGTTGGCTTTGTTGTGACAATAAGTCTTCCGGAATGTCTTCTTCGAAGTCGAGTTCTTCGTTCTCCGGCAATAGACTCGACAACTCATTGGTTCCGTTCGGTCTCTTCGGTGTCGCCATCAGAAGACAATGATTTGCAAAACTCTCTCAAAGTATGGATTAATTGAACGCAAAGTCCGTTGAATGCAATGAATGACTGCTTGTATTGAACGACGGCTGCAATGAATTAATGCGTCTTTAATTGGAATGCATTCACAAATCCATTCATTCATTGCTTTTACTATTCATTCGGTTTTTTCGCACTAAATATCAAATGATTTAAAAATCAGTTTTGTTTGAAAATTAATTTCTTTTTTATTATAAATTCAATGTTTAATAATAAATACAAATAAATATTATATGAAATAAAGCTTTGGATTTCAGAAAATAGTTATTAAAAAGTTTACAAAACATTTATAAAATAAATTAAAATTACTATAAAATTGTTGAAAAATTTGCACAAAGTTTTGTTGAGAGAGAGAGAGAGAGAGAGAGAGAGAGAGAGATGCAATGGATGTTTGTTGAATGTCTACTGGATTGGACTGAATTGGTTGAAGAAGTCTCGTATACAACAGGCGTGACTGAATGGGCACTCGTCGATGTCGGGCGACAGAACTCCTCCTTCGCGGACACAACTGAAGTAATTGGGAATCGATAGACAGTGACCTTTGGCTCGGAATACATGACACGGTCTGTGATGAGACACAACCACCGGAACAGTGTTCTGGACGGCGGGCGCACTCGACGGCACATTCACCGCAACCGACGGCACATTCACGACACCAACTGATGGCACGTTCAGAGAGAGTGCCGGCACTTCACTGATGGAGGCGGACGGCCTGTTGTGGGTCCCAACGGGTCGGTTGACCACAACCGGTCGGTTCAGTATCAGTGTTGCCACGGGATTGGGAACCGTATTCTGCTTCACCTCTCTTTCAATCACTACTTTTAAAGCAAAAATAAAAGTTTAGTTACTTTTCAGATAAGATATAATTAAATATCAAATTTATTACTTATTTTTTGTTGATTATCACCGCTTCGGATGTTCTCAATGCCTGACCCGACGGACGCCGACTTAGCGACCGCTGGAATCGTTTCGCTCAACAGATTTCCAGACATTTCTTCGCCGAAAACGACTGAAAATACTGCAAACACACAGAAAAACAGGAGTGACTTCATCTCTGGTAATGAATGTGTGAATTAAATTCAAAGTTTTATAAATAGGGAAACTTTTCTTAGAGGAAACCAAAAGTTTAAATGTATTGGAAGTGCTTTCAAGACAAGCCTTTTATAGTTGGCAAAAGTTTTGCACTAAAAAGGGAAGTGAAGAGTGAATGCGTTTAATTGGGTATTAATGGACAGTAAGTTCATTGAGAAGTTCATTGCCCTCACAATGACTGACCACTCAAACGGATTATAAGAGACAATAAAACCAAAGTTAATCCAATGGATAAACTTTTTATTTCCGGATATTTAATACAAGCGACAAAAAGTGATATGAAATGCATTAGTGATTATAATAGGCATACAATCCCTGACAGTATCCCTGAAACGCCACTTATATTGTCATTATATGCCATAACGTGTGGAAGTGGTGGACATTAACCCCTTATAAGACAAACTTATTAAACAAATAGATGCTTACGACCACTAAATATGCATTTGAATTTATGTGCATGTTCAATTTAGAAATTATGTATCGTATGTAATACAGAAAATCAATGTTTAGAAGTTGATTAAACATTTAAAAAGTAATTAAAACTAATAATAGACTAAAAGGGATGCAAAAACAGGCGTAAAGTTTGTCACAGTATTTATGTATGAAATGCTAATAATATGTTCAAAACATCACATGATTTGAAGGCATAAACCAATTGATTGTTTTGATTGTATTGTGTTTTCATTGCATTAATCGCCCATTAATTCAATTCAAACCACAATTTACTGATTGTTTGCCTCATATTTAGCACAAAACATCACATGATTTGAAGGCATAAACCAATTGATTGTTTTGATTGTATTGTGTTTTCATTGCATTAATCGCCCATTAATTCAATTCAAACCACAATTTACTGATTGTTTGCCTCATATTTAGCGAACCATTTGTGGCACCAATTGTTTGATTGTCTAATAAACACATAAAATAGCCATCAATTCAATGGTAATTATGTTTAAATGTCTGTTATATTGCAGTTTTTGGTCACAACTGTTGTCTATAAGAAAGTTGTTTACAAATAGCCAGTGATTTGTGTTTAGGGATTAGACAGCGATTAGTGATTAAGGGATTAACGATTGCTTTAGAGATAATGTGTTTTGTTGTATGTATTGTACGAATAGGACGGCGGGTATGACGAGACGGATAGCGACCGCTTTATGATCGGGTCGTTCCCGAAGGGCTTCGGGTATCCCGAAGACGACAATGACATCCAATCCAATGATGTGACCGATAGGGCGCTCACCGGCGAAGTCAAGCCCCGCATACTTATCATGGGTTTGAGACGGTATGTGACACTATGTGTCCGCTCTCTCCCACAAAACATCACATGATTTGAAGGCATAAACCAATTGATTGTTTTGATTGTATTGTGTTTTCATTGCATTAATCGCCCATTAATTCAATTCAAACCACAATTTACTGATTGTTTGCCTCATATTTAGCCAAACATTTGTGACACCAATTGTTTGATTGTCTAATAAACACATAAAATAGCCATCAATTCAATGGTAATTATGTTTAAATGTCTGTTTTATTGCACTTTTTGGTCACAACTGTTGTCTATAAGAAAGTTGTTTACAAATAGCCAGTGATTTGTGTTTAGAGATTAGACAGCGATTAGTGATTAAGGGATTAACGATTGCTTTAGAGATAATGTGTTTTGTTGTATGTATTGTACGAATAGGACGGCGGATATGACGAGACGGATAGCGACCGCTTTATGATCGGGTCGTTCCCGAAGGGCTTCGGGTATCCCGAAGACGACAACGACATCCAATCCAATGATGTGACCGATAGGGCGCTCACCGGCGAAGTCAAGCCCCGCATACTTATCATGGGTTTGAGACGGTATGTGACACTATGTGTCCGCTCTCTCCCCCCTCTTCTCACTCCTCAATCTATTACTCTTGTATTGAGACTCTGTTTGTCTGTCTTTTGATGTGAAAGGAGTGGCAAGTCTTCGATACAGAAAGTGGTTTTCCATAAGATGTCACCCAATGAGACACTATTCCTCGAGAGCACTAATAAGATCGTCAAAGACGGTAAACATTTGCCCATTAGATGTCATACATTTCAGTTGATTCACATATCGATTGCATATTCAGTTTTTTGCCATAAATCCAAAACGCATTTATTTCTTATGATTTAATTACAAAAATATTAGTTTACAAAAGTCTTTGTGTAGTTTTCATAAAATACAATATCTATAGCAATGATAGATCGCATACAAAGATATACTGTTTTGTGGCACTGAATGAGATATGATATGTGTTGAATAAAATGCGTTAAATATATTACAAAATAAAAATATATAATAGTAATGAAGTATTGAATTTGATTTGTGTAGACATAAGCAACAGTTCGTTCGTGTCGTTCACAATATGGGACTTTCCCGGACAGATCGACTTCTTTGACTCCACTTTTGACTCGGAGAACATCTTCGGCGGATGCGGTGCTCTTGTCTTTGTGATCGACGCACAGGTTAGCCATTGAATGGATTGTATTGATTGCCTGAATGCGTTGACAACGGATTGTTTGTATGGTTAGGATGACTATATGGAAGCGCTGTCTAAACTGCACCATACGGTGAAAAAGGCCCATCAGGTGAACGCAGACATTAAGTTTGAAGTATTCATTCATAAAGTGGACGGACTGTCCGACGACCATAAGATTGAAACCCAAAGAGATATCCATCAAAGAGCTAATGAGGATCTGATGGACAGCGGAGACGAGAATATTCTTCTCAGTTTCTATTTGACATCCATTTACGATCACTCGATATTCGAAGCGTTTTCCAAAGTGGTCCAGAAGTTGATCCCACAGTTGCCAACACTGGAAAATCTACTCAATATATTCATTACGGTATTTGATTTGATAAA